TTGCTGATTTACCTGCATGTGGGGGGTTAACTGCTGCACTCTCAAAGGGAGAAATTAATTGTTGACCTAAGAAGAATTTGCCCAAGGACTCAGTTGTTTCAAGCACACATAACCCAGCCTGCCTGCCACCCCTCACTGTGGCTGTGCAGTTCTTTGCTCAGCATCCAAAACCAGGAATACCAGTCCCATCAGCACTTCTTTTTACAGCTGTGTGCACCTGTGCAGTGTGAGGCCAGAGCAGCACTGAATGAATGATGCACAACTGGCGACTTTGGTTTCACCTAGAAGATTGCACCCATCACAATGCTCCAGTATTTATACAGTTAAACATGTTTCTCTTTTTGTCCTCCATCTGATGTTACCAGAGTTTTGAGAAAGCTGTCTTGGAGATGAAAGACCTCCTAAATTACACCAACAGGAAAATAGCTGTAATGGTGCATATATTTTGCTTCCAAGATGAAAGTCACCTTCTTACACTGAGAAAGGCAGATATTAAAACATGCAACTACATAAACAAGGTTAAAGAATGTAAAATGTGATTATTCTGATGGGAAGGAAGTGAGCTGGACCAGGACCACTTTAGGTTTCTGTTTACATTTTTCTAGTGATTTTCAGGTAAGTGGAAAACATATTTTAAGTCTTCTTCAAAACACAAATGAAATTTCAACACCTAACACAGGACCATGGAAACTGCCATGCCAGGCTGTCTAAACCCAAAGGCTGCTCTGACAGCTAACAGTAAGTATTTAAAGGGGAGATCCTAAACCTTCATATAATGGACAGTGCTTATGGGAAAATGTCTTCCTATACCCCAGGAAAAAGATCCTTTATTGAATGCTGTGTTTGTGTGGTAACCTTATACTTTATTCCTCTTAACCTTATTTAATATAACAGTGAGAAGTTTCCATTATCTGTTCAAATACTCCTACGAACTTCTACTATTTTAAAACTATAACTCCTTGGTCATTTTGCGATGGTCTGATCCACCAGACTTCCCAAAAACGTTTTCCTGCCTTTAATTTTCCTGGAAGCAGGTTCCATTTAATCTGTTTGTTAACTTGTACACTCTGTGGCACAGGCTCTAGGTAATCTTTTTCCATTTCCTGGCAGTACAAGGAGTGTCCCTGTAACTTTGTGATTCTTTTGCTTTATTTTTGACCTGAACACAGGAATCTGTCTCAATCAAATCCTGTAAGGTGCAGTATTAAGGGCCACACACCTGAGCCAGAGCTGGCTGCAAACTCTTTTCAGAGGAGATGAAATGTGCATATCCAAGCCATCAGCAGGCATTTATGCCCCTCCCTGTGATCCTCCTGTTCCCACCTTGGATAGCCAGACACCCCCTCTCCAGCAGGAGACATCGGCACCGCTCCCACCCCCAAATAAAAGCAAAGCACCAGCTTTTAATGCTGTATGCACAATACCATACTCCACAGACAACGTGACTTTATTCACAAATATGATCTTTACAGAGGTAGAACAAAATACTTTGTATAATCTTTTTCTTTTTTTTAACTATATACATATAAAGAATATAATAGAATGACGAGAAAGAAAAGGTTGTAAACAAAACAATATTATGCCATCAAATACAGTACAAACAGCATGCATGAACAGCTTCAAATGAAATCTTGCTGGTGTAACTATTTTTTTTCTCATGTGGTAAATGAAAAGTAGTAAAGAGTCATGCTCTAATTGGATTGAGTATGCCACAGCTCTGCAATTTTTTTTTAATTATTTTTTTTCTTTTACGATAAACCAACAGGATCACTTTCTTTTCACTGTGGTGGGGAATGCTTTTGTAATGCCCAATGTAATATTAACAGAAAAATATAATAATCAAATCTACAAAGTGTACTCTCATTTAAAAAGCAAAACCATAGAAACTGTACAGTTTTAAAAAGCGAATTATCTCAAATGCTTCTTAAGAGAATTTTCTAAAGAAAGAATAAAATATGCAGAATAAAAATGAGGAGAGCTATTGTTCTGTAACAAAGCTAATCAAATACTTGTTTTCTGTTCCAATAAACAGTTTTTTAATTAATGACTATTCTGGAAATTATGAAGTGGGCCAGGTTTTATTAATGTTCCACTTGACTAATAAAGCATGAACTCCTTTCAGGTACTATAGCTGTCATTCCCCTGGGAATGGATGGGGATTGGTTCTGCATGCATGCTGGAGACAGGGACAAGGTTTAGTCACGGGTGTAGATTCTAAAAATATTTTGAAATGTGTTAAACATTTAGTAGCTTCTATAAAAATAATCTGGCTTGTTTTGCTACTGGATTGAGATCTGGATTTATGATTTTCTGCTGAAATTCATTCCTGGTCAAGGACTTCCACTGGGGTGGGAGTTATCTGGGCTGCAGCAGGTCCTACGACAGTGGCCAACAGCAATGAACACCCGAAGCCAACAGCAATCCCCACACTGTTCAGCCCGGTGCCTCAGGCTGAACCTCAGTGTCTGGGATTTGGGGAATGGTGCTGTCCTGCCTCTCCATTCCTCTAAGTCCCAGCCCATGCCATGGCAAGGGCAAAGGCTGAAGAGAGCAACTGTGCTTTTCCTCCTGCAAAATATCAGTTCTGGTGACAGCCACCTTTCTGTCCCTCCTATCTGGCACACTGACTGCATCAGCAGGGGTCTGGTCAAGTCCCTGCCCGGCTCAGGGACAGCAGCTGTGTGTGCTGCCTGTGGGAAAACAGGGATTTCTGCCTCTGTCCAGCAAGGATCAGAGGGGTTAAACTGCCCTCCTGCAGGTCACCCCCTAAAATGTAATTTAAAGTTTCAAGCACACAAACAGAACCTGTACACTCCGTTTTTCAAGAATGTCAGCGTGTCCAATATTAAACACATGCTGTTTGTGGCCAAGTCAGGCACCATCCCTAGATTCAATGGCAATGAGTTTACTAAAGATCAGCAGAAAATTGAACAGAGAAGGATGGTGGGTCTCATTTGACTTTGAGCTCTCAGGTGATCCTGGTCTTCAGGCAGAAGCTCAGCTCAACCTGACAGTGAACATGGGGTGCATCCCATGTCTAGTGCAAGTGACTGGGGGTTGGCCTCAGTAACCTCCTTCACCAGATCACAAGGATTAAGTTAGCTGCAGTGAAAATAAATATCTGCCCGGCATGGCAAATCCATCTCTGTGGCTTCATCCATGGCTTTGGCATCTTCCTGGGAAATGGATAGTCAGATCCCTCTAGATTGCCCTGGTGCAACTGAAACCTGCGTTTCACGAATTGATCCTGCAGCAGATTATCACCCCCAGAAGCAGGGCATTTATTGAGAGGTGTGAACAGTGTGCTATGCACAGATGAAATATTCTGTGTGGTTGTTTACAGTCAACAGAATAAGCCTTGCACCTCTTTGTGGAAGAACTGTACAAAACATGGCTGAAATAACAGGATTGTCGATGACGGTCAGTGGGAGATACTCGAACCCTCTGAGTAAGACTGCGTCTTTCTGTTGTGTAAACTGCTCCACAAGGATGAGTAAAACAATACATTCCTGCCCCATTAGCCTTGGGGAAGATTAATGCCCTCTAATCTACGCTAAATAAACTCTGAAGCATGAAGTCCCACACTCAGCTGCTTGTGAATTAATAGGGATCACCCTGAAATTGCTATTATGAAATGCAAATATTTGCAAAAGAACAATTAAAAAATATTCCTGAAGTGCAACGAAAGGCTTGTCAGTCATGTTTGTGGTATGCACAGGGACAGTCAGGAGGCAAACACTAATGAATCCCAGGGCAGAAATCTGTGGTAAAACCCCATTAGCCCATTCGCAGTGGGTGATGGCACAGCATGTAACACTGGAAAATAATTCCACCCAGTAATCAGAGGGCTTGGCTTAGGATGCCCCAGTTTTGATTCTTTGGACAGTTTGTTTGCATACACCTGTATTTTCAGAAAGCTGCAGTACGTGTCTCACAGTAAATCTACTTCAAACACTTGCTGATACAGCTCAAACTGATCTCATATGCCCTGATCTGAAATTTTGTGTTAGCTAAAGTAATAAAAGAATCCTGGTAAACCTAAATTATCAAATGAAAAAGGCAATTTTCTCATTTATACTCCATTAGTTTTTTTAGTTATTGCTAGGAAAGCTCTAAAATGCTTAGGCCATAAAATAAACATGTGGCTTAATGTACAGTATGTGTACTTAAGAAGATGATGGCATCTGCAGTAACTGCTCTGCACTGCTATAGTAATGGGATGCACAAATTAAGCAACAGCATATATCAAGTAAAGCATACAAAAATGTATGGCAAAAAGTAACAAGCCTTCTGCTTTTTTTTTTTTTTTTTTTTTTTTTTTTTTTTTTTAAAGAACTCTAATTGCTAAAAAGAAGAAATCACCAATATCTACACCTACAACACAAAATTGCAGCATGGTTGATTTTGATTGATGCTCATCACCTCTGTGCCAGCAAAACTGTGTGATATTGTTATTTTTAGCATGTCACTGATTAGAAGTTTATGAAAGCTCCCCTTCCCAAATTAAATTCAATGATATATTTTCCAGAGTTGAAGTTAAACAATTAGCCTAATATGGTTTCAAGCACACAATACTCATAAGATTTTGGGAAAAAAGCACCCCAGATTCTTACGTCACGGAGATGTAGGACAGCAGATGAAAAAGCATCCAAGTATTCACTTTTGAAAATGAAATTAATAGCCTAGATCACTTAGGTACCTTCAATAATTTTACTCTCAGGCCCTTCATTCAAACATATCAGAGTACTTTCTATCAATAATGTAAATTTCTTTAGAAGAGTGCCACAACTAAACCTGTGAAATCACAGAAGCAAGATTGCATATCCAAACCATTTACAGACATATTTTAGCATTACTTTGCAACAGTAGGCATTAGGCTTTTGAGAACACATGAATCTCTGAAATTCAATCTTTGTGCTGCTTTACCCCTTCATGCTCAGTTCAAATAGGTGTCCTGCAGAACAAGGAGTGAGCAAAGCCTCTGCAGAGAGCTGCGACAAATGCCTGGATCAGACAAACTCGATGAGAGTCATAAAATGCAGATTGGAGATTTCTTCTTCAGCCAGGCTTTTACAGAAATACACTTTCCTGGCTAAAAAGGATGGCACAGCGGAGCTTTACAGAGGGAAATGCAAAGATATGAAGGGGAGAATCCCATTTTCTTCCTCAGTAATCCCATAAAACCAAAAATCTCTTTCCATAACAGCTCAAGACAATTACCTGACTGCTGACAGGACCTTTCCCATCACCTGAGGGGAGCCTATGCTCTCTTTTTCTGTGCTGTCAGTGCCAGGTACATGGTCAGAGTTGTGCTCATTATCCCCTGGCTTCCCATTAATGTGACCAACACGTTTTTCTCCCCAGCTGCAACAACCATGCAAGCCTCTTTTACTCATAGTTCAGATTTTCTTCCTGTCATGGCACAAAGCTGAAAAGTAAACAACAGTTAAAAAAACATTTGTTTGCCAAAGCCTGGCATGAGAAGGTGCAAGCTCTTCTTGCCAGAGCCTGGACCTGTGTTTGCTCACACCCACAGCACTGTTTAGTGCTCCAGCTTGGCACTGTATGGGAACAATCACCATCCTCTTCAGGCCCTCACTCTTATTCAGTCTTTGAGAAGTTACAAAATATAACAGAACACTGTTTTCTGAGACTATATTGACTGCACTAATTACCCACAATATTGTATATTTGCTATTAAGAACATGAATGTGTGCTTTCAAAGTGTGACATTCAGGGCTTCAAGGATGTAGGAGGAATTAGATGGATTGTTCTGTCACTTAATCCGAGGCTTTGATGTACTTAAAAAAATTTGTTTAAAACCCCAAAAAACCAGAATACACATTTTAACTGTTGAACTTTTACCAGCTAAAGCAGTTTGTAAGGACCCTATCACTATGTGGTTACAACAGAAGATACACAGTTAAGGTCAGGTCACGATTTCCAAGAACATTCACAGGGACTGAGGATGAGGAAAACGAGGGATGGATTCTGCAGGAACCTTCAGGAGACTGAGCTGCTCACTGGGGAAGAGCCTTGAGTATTGCATTCACTTCCTCTGCCACCGCTGTCAAAGCAAACTCAAACTGCTCCTGCGGAGAGAAGAAACGCACACCCTGAATAATAAAACAAAACACTTTCCACAAAGCCTGGTGCTCTATTCCGCAGCTGAACGTCCTCAAGACATTGTTAAAAATATGAATATGCAGGATGAACTGTACACTGCAACGGAAAGGAACAAAATGTTCTGGGATTATTGATGTCATATAACATGTTTGACAGCATCTCAAAGCCAGAGTCATTTTAATGGAGAAAAATGTTAGTAGCAGAACCCAAGCTATTGGGACAGGATGATATATTGCCATTGCATGGTCAGAAGGGTTTGGGAGTAGCTGATCACCAGCCATTTCCTTCTGCCACAGAGATGGGAACTCAATACATTACTGAAATATGAAGAAAGTGAGAGGCTGTAAAGCAGAGACTTTGGCTTTTTTCAGGACTGTTTCTAGTTGAAAGAATCTAAAATAAATACCTCTTCCCCTGATTTCTATTATATAGAACAATATCTGGGTTTTGGCTTACCTGTCATTGATCTTTTTAAACCTCTCTTTTTAATGTCCTTTCCACACTCACAAATTACTCAATTTTGTTAAGACCACTCCTATATAAGAAATACTTGGGAAGGCTTTTCTCTGCTATTAATTTACTGTAACCTCAACACCAAAATGATTTACCAGCTTCTGTGCTGGGTTGGCAGAGGTGTGAAGGACACAGCCGTGAATGGCTACTTCTTCTAAGTGCAACCCTAACACACTCCTGAACTGTGTAGTCCTACAGAAGGACAAAGCAGTTTTAAATCCTCAAGGTTAACAGGTGTTATATTTTCCAAGCAAGTAATTTTTTTTCTCAGTAATTTAGCTTACTGAAATAACTGACTGGGTGATTTGGAGTTTGAGACTTTCCAGTGGAAAGTTTTCTCAAAATATAGGCAAATCAAAGACACCAGATAAGGACTGTGGAGAAATTCCTGGATTTTTTGGAAGTACTCCAGAGGTTTAAGCCAGCTGGGGTCAAGAGCTACTGAGAAACTGACTCTGAGGATGTAGGTTTGAGATGCACCCTGCAAAGCATCCCAAGATCACTGCTGGGATATTGCCTGTGTCTCCCATTAGAAAGTTGAAGGTCTCTACCTCTGGCATCTCAGCTGGTGCTGCCAGGGGCTGTGTGGGGAGGTTACAGAACACAGCCACCCCCAAAAGTGATCACTGAACCAATAACATTAATTTTCCACAGTGTTTCATTTTACTGCAGAAATGTACAGGAAGGGTGAAAGAACAAACTACAGATGTGCAACTCATAGTTCAGAAAGGCAGCTGACTCTTAATTCCTGCAATCCAGTGCCAGTCTTCTCTGCCTTGTCTCACCCAACTGCAGTCAGCTCCCATGTGGAGATGCTTCAGAGAAGCAATGATGGGCACAGTGCCAGAGCAGAAAAAGCAGAATAAAACTCAGAATAATTTCTCAGTGACACTGCCATTCAAGAATTTTGCTGTCTGCTTGGTGCTGTCAAAGTGGCATCCATGTACACTTGCTGGACTGCGGCCAACAGCTTTTAATCAGACATCAATTCACCCTAAAGAGTAGGACTCATCCTCAGGAGGTGCTGAAAATAGTGTGCATGACTGCCTAAGGCTCCTTGCACTTTCTGCAATTAAAGGAAACACTGGGAATACTGGGGGCCATCCAGGAGCATCAGTTGTATTTTAACTGGAGCACAATGAGTGTGTGAGGAGCTGGAGAGCAGCAGGGTCAGAGAGGACAAATATGGGTCATTTTGGGGCAGAACCAAACTGGGTGCTTGTACCAGCTCAAAAAGCCTGAGGAAGAGTGTCTGCCTCGCCCAGGGACTGAGCAACAGGCAGTGAGACCTTAGTGACTGAGGCAAAACAATTCACAGAGCATAATCTGCACAGCCATTGCTCAGAACTGAGTGCAGTAAAAGGACAGGAGAGCAGACACGAGATGTGTGGGGACATGGCCTGTCCATGGCCAGCTGAGCTCTTCCCCCTCCATCCTTCTGCATAACACACCCAGGTGAAAGGCAGGGAGTGCAGCTTCCACTGATGTGCATCACCACCCTCCCAGGAAAAGCCTTCCCACACCTTCCACACTTTTCCATGAGGACAACTGCAGTTAGAGCAAATTAATGTCAGTAATTTTTAAAGGAGATCAGTTTGTTGTTTTGTACAGCTACACTGCCATTCACATATTCTATTTGCATATACAAGACTGCCTGGAGATGAATTTTAACATCTAGCTTTGCCTAGAAAACAGAGCTGGACAGACATTCTGTGGTGTCAGTTCACCTATAATGCAGAGGTGACAAGAATATACTTAATAAAAATAACTATGGCTATGTTTCATTAAGTCTATAGATAAAAATTCCCAGAAAAACAAAGTGAGTTCATGTAGCGTATATAACACAGTAAGGAATCTATCTACTATTATAGATTGTGAGAGGATATAGGAGACAGGAAAAAAAAATTCCCATCACAGAGAATACACTTCCTCCTTCATTACTTTTTCCTCTCATATGTGACATATCAATTCTATTTTACAATTCCCCTAAAAAAAAAAAAATCCAACAAACCCACAAACCCTCTATTATGCTTCTCAGAAATGCAGAATGTCGTTATGATAATTTCATTACAATTTATTATATACAGTGCTTCTGAATTAAAGATCCTTTCCAGAAGACAAAATGCTGCAAACAAATCTTTCCCATGCCTGTTGGAAAGGTGGAGCGCTGCCTGCTGGAAACAAAATAACATTGCTGAAGGAAGCTGGTGTTTATTTTGCCTAGGGATATTCTGTAATTGGCATTTCTAACCTGACTTTTAATCCATCGTTTTAAATTACTCCAAGAGTCTAATATTCCTCATTTGTATTCAGTTGGGAAAGCACAGGGGTTTGTTTAAATCCATCAGAAAAATTCTCTGGGGATCATGCATTGCTAGCATGTAACCAGATATTTATAATTTGCAAGACATTAGCTTGAATAAGTGATTTGGGTGGTTTTGAGAAAATGACAATGATGGAAGAAGGAGCAAGAGGAGAGATAAGCAATATCCTGAGAAAATTTTTCATCCTGGATGAAAACACAGGATACATTTGTTTTCTGGAGCTCTTCCAGACAAATGTTTGGAGGGAAAAACCATGTATTGGGGGAGGTTTTCATGGCACTCAGGTAACTATTGCTGAGCTAAGTAGAAGTTGTTCACATAACCTCATTCTTTGGTTCTGGAGCGATGTTTTTCCTTCTGTTGAAGGCAATAAGCCATAATTTCTCTGCCCTGAAAAGGAAACTGGAATCTGAGCTCTCTGTTGCCACAGAGCTGCTACATGTTTTGAATGCATTTGCAGAGTAGTCCAGGATTTGCATCTTACCTCAGAGTAAATATATATGACATTGGATACTGTGTGCTATTTGCCTTTTGTTCCAGTTGGAACAATCAAAGCAGAAGAAAGACTTGTGCAATTTTATGTCTTCCTTGAAGATAAAGATTAGTTAGTTTTGACTGGCTCATCTTTATTTTTCATGCACTTACTTAATTGGTAATAATAATTAACATTTCCCAAGCTGTTCTTCAGCAGTATTTTGCCCTAGTATTAGTGGGAAATAAAATAATCGGGAAGAGATTCAGGAAAAATTATGAACCAATGATTTCTGCAACACACATTTATTTCACCTTTGCCCCTCAGCAATTTCAACTCCCTAAACACTGCAGAATTCCCTATCAGTTCCAGCCTGGCCAAGACAGAGCGCTGTCCCATTGCTCTTGTTACTCAGTTTGGGACTATAACTATCATTTGACATTTTATAAGGCCATAAACAGATTTATTTCACCTTCATACCATGAAAGAGTTTTTTTACTGTCATATTTGCAGCTCTTAACTTGCAGCACATATCCCACAATATCATTCCATACATCACTGGAATTGTTAATAACAGAAAGTTTCATTTCTAATTTAAGAGACTAGAATTGCACCATCAGCTACTATGTTTAAAAGTTTTACACTGTGGAAAAAACGTCAAAACTATTACAACTGACAGGAATTTGAGAGTTAGGCATTCATCTCACCAAAATGTAAAAATATACTTACCATGTTACATCCATAAGGCTGATGCAAGCTCCTCCATTCAAAGATACTAAAAATTACTTGATTCCCTGTAAAACTTTATTTCCTTTAATTCAAAACTTCTGAGTTATTTTTTAGAGAAAAAAATACCAAATGCAGCAGTTACATTCTCTTTAATGAGTAGAAGCTTAAAAAATATTACATGCACAGTTAAGCACAGATACTCTAAGAAAATAATCCATAGTTCAGGATGAAAGCAAGAACATTCTTTCAAACGAACATTTTCTTTAGCAGGCTATAGATTGTTGTCTTGACTGCCCTTCATATATGGTAATCAAGATAGATGCTGGAGATGTTACAAGAAAGAACAGTAAACACAAAAGTAAGTAACCCAGATAAATCTCCAGCATAAATAAACCTCAGTTGGTAGGGAGCCAAACAGAGTAATCAGCAAGCGACCTGTGTTAAATTAGGTCATACCCTTTCTCTTCTGTCATGAAAACAACTACTGTGAAAGACCTTTAATGTATTTAAAATCCCAGTGGATTTATTGACAGTACCTTTGTCTGGACCATGCCTGGTCTCTGGTCCCTCAAGTGCTCCAGGGTAGCAGCAATATCAATCTCTTTAGCACCTGCAACAAACCACAAATTGGGCTGAGTTCAGAGCACAAGATAATCCATGCCGCATCTGTCAATCTCTTGCTATCGGGTTCCCTTTGGGCTAACAGTCCAATTGAAAATTATTGCATCCATCTCTCAGCAGACTTGGCAGGCAGCTGCAATTTTTGTCTTCATATAGAAAAATAAGAGGTTGGGGCACCTTTTACTAACATTAATTCAAGAGAAGCCAGAGAAAAACAAATTCTTAAAAATGTCTCTGCACCAGAGCAGAATATATTTTGTGGAACTTGAGATTCTGTCATGGCAATGCCACTGAGCATCCCTTTGTCACTTCTAAGAGTATGCACTGAATTAAGGACCTGAACCACACAAAGATTAATGCTGTAAAAACAAGATTTAGGTGACCTTTTGTCACCTGCAGCTGACATCCAGAAAACCTGTCTGTGACTTCCTATTTCAGGACCTGTCAGACCACCTTGCTGTCTGGTCACTCCTTCACCTGGCCAGTCTATGGCATTTTGTTTAGGTTCCACTCTGGGTGTCTGGACACAGCTGCCCTGGAGCCATGGGTAGCACCAGGGCACGTGAAACAGGCACAGACAGCCTGGCTGGGACTGCCTCCCTGCCCCATGGACATGGAGGAGCTTCCTTTCAACACATGAACTATGGAGATCAAAGCAAGTCCTTGAGCCTCTTCCCTTTCTTATAATCCACAAGGATTAGAGAAAGGAAGGGGACAGGGAGATGCTGATTTCCTCCTCAACTTCCTCCAGTAACTGATATTTCAAGACCACCCTCCTCATTCTCCTTAAGCACCTAATCTGATGTTTTATGAAGGTATTGAGGGGGAATCAGGATTTTGGTCTTTCCTGTATGAGCTTCAAGAATAGAAGCCTGGCTGGAAATCCTTTGAGGTGAAAAGTTCACATGCAGAATTTGGCCTTCTTGTATCTGCCCCCTTCTGCATCTTGCAAGAGCATCTCACGGTACCAAGGCACCAGGCAGATGGGCAGGGGGTCATCCTAATGCCAGTGTAACCACCCCATCCCTGCTCCACTGTGCCCTACTGCCCTGGGTGGCTGTTCATTCTGCTAGGGCTATTGTGGGCCCATTGCTACAGGAGCTTGGAAATGTGCTGACCTCAGGTCTCTCCTTTTTTTTTGTACATTCATTTTTGTCATTGGATGGTTTATCAAGGGCAGGGATTGGCCACGATTTTGGAATCTGCTTTGTTTCAAGGGATACTCAATGATGTGCTCCGAAGAAGACTTGTCAACTGCTTCCTGCTGCCTGGTCCTACAAATTTCCTGAGCCATCCTCTAACAATTTCAGACTTCCTTCTGGAGGCATTTAAATATCCCCAAATATTCACAGGGGTCTCAGTGGGCCATGCACCTAGAGCACTGATGCTGCAATGTAACTTGTACTTGTCTAGGACACATACTTGTTGAATTCCCAGAACTGGATTCGCAGAACTGGACCCAACACTTATCACTCTTCCTACAACTCTTGTAATTTAAGGACTTGTCTACCTGTAGTTGGGCTCACATCAATGCAAACATCATGCACCTCCTCATTCACCCAACTCAACTTTATAGCTCAGCACCATCTTTCAAAAAATTCAGAAAAGTAATAAATAGTGAGTGATTTCATTAGGTTTCCTTGATAAAAAATATTAAATTATATTTAAAAATAGCATCAACTCTACAAGAATAATTTGGAATATGTTCTTCAAATAAATGAAAATATGTTCTTCAGTTGTATCAGAAATGGAATGAATTCTTTCAGTAAATATAATAGTGAAAACTTAGAAGTGGTATCTTACAGACAGTTTTGCTAATTACCATGGGTTGGGACATTGCATGCCTTTTGCTCCCCAGCCCTCCCCACGATTTACAGGGATGAGCTTTGAAAAAAAAAAAAATAGAAGGTTTTATTTTAAAATTAAAAACTCCCAAATCTCCTTACAACAGAGCAAAGCAATACTTAGATACACTGTAAAGTCTGATAACAGTGACAGTAATTATACATTAAATCTGTTTCAGGTTTTGCAGTGGCAATTCATCTGGAAAGCATCACTAAAGGTACCCTCTTCACAAACCCTAACAGTGGTGTAACACAGTAACTCTCTTCAGTGTTTACTCTCACACACACATGTGCAATTACATGGGATTTTCCTGTTCCACCACAGTGGTGAATGGAAGCAGAGCTATGTGAGTGCTGCACATGCTTTACAGCCCCACTCATAGCCTCATTTGATTACCAGGAAATAAAACTTTCCAGTAGCATCTTGGTTCAAAGTAAGAGCGATCCTCCTTTCAGAAATTAAGACACGAGAAATAGACACTGCAATCCATGGACAAGGCTATCCACAGTTCTGAGCTTCCCAGGTGTACGCTGCAAGCATGAACCCAGAGATCCTCCCACTGCATCTGGCAGCTCAAGTACCCATGACTGGAACATGTATGTCCCCCCACCACTGAGGGATGATCTTTATTTGAAAATACTCTTCCCTCAGGACAAAAAGAGAAAAGGTTTATGACAAGACAGAGTTACGCTCTTTAATGGCCAGACAGGCTTTTGTGTTTACCTTTGAAAGAGTTAATTCCTCCATTTCTGTGATGCAGACTGCAGCATTTACTAGTGAACTGATACTTGCTTTTTTATCATCATTAAGGGAATGACATGACTAATAGTATGAACAACACTTGATTAAAAAATCCTGATTTAGCAAAACACCAAAGCATATGCATGCACTGGAACATAAGAACATAACTAATAGTATGAACAACACTTGATTAAAAAATCCTGATTTAGCAAAACACCAAAGCATATGCGTGCACTGGAACATAAGAACAGTCCTAGTGGGCTGATGTGCTTAATGGGAAGCTTGTTCTAAAGTGTTTTGTCAGTAAAGTCCCTAAAACATCAGTTTTTACTCACTAGTGTCCCTAGCCCATGTGTTGTGATCAGCAGGTCACCCAAAAGCATTTCAGATGTCCTCAGCCATAGGTAATTTTAAGGAAAAGCAGAGCAAATCGAGTGTCTTGTTGAGATGCCATTGGGTTAGAGACAATCCAAAGCAGAGACAGGGATTGGTTTGCTACACCATTTTTTCCACCTCTGAATGCCTTGAATACACAGTGATGGGAAATACGTAAGTGCCTGGAGAGACTGATCAATGAAACTTAGTGCTGCAAAGACAGGATGCTGTTTCAGAAGAAAAACATCTTGGAACAAGAAAATTCACAGGACAGGAGATGAAATCAATGGCATAGGAAAAAGCCAGCATGACCTGTTCTCTCTCTACATGAGTAAGCCCCTCTTCCTCCTCTGCATTCACATGTTCTGCATCTATTCCCTTATTGTGACGAAAACAAATGTGTTTCAATATATATTGCTAGTCCTCTATTAAACCTCATTTTGTGATGAGGGCTTTTTTCTATTCAAGCTTAGGATACTCCGCTGCTGGATTATGTAAATTCAGCTCACTACCTACCACTGGCGTGTGCAATAGTCTGTAAAAAGTTTTCTGGTGACAGACACAGACAAAGAAAGAGATTTTCAAGGCACAAAGGGAGGTCTGAACCCAACCTGCCTTCACAGGTGAGAAGAGCTCAGTGTTTAAGTGAACTTTCAACTATCTTTGGAATTATTTTGCTGAAATCTGACACAAATTCAACACTTTCTTTGCCATGCTGAGGCTTTTTCTTTCATGTGGGAGTATGACAATATGGCATTACATTCTACAGTACCCAGTAACAATTTATTTATGTTTTTGAGCCAGTTCAGGTGGCAAAAATTACAGCATATGCTACATGACATCGGGAAAGAGGAATATTGCATCTAAGGACATTAGGGTCAAATCATGCTCTTATGGAGGTGGCTGCAAAATATCCACACACTGCTAAGGCATTGAAACATTGTTTATCTGGAAAGCCCACACAAACTAAACTTGATGCAGTGATACAGATCAAAAGCTAGACGAGCTTGATCTACTGATTTCAAGGATATACAATTATTGGAAGTGTTTTGCTTAGGCTTCTAAACTATTAAGTCCAGTAATAGATGCAGATGTCAATTTATTGGCATACAACAAATAATCCACAGGAAGGGTTAAAAATACTAGGCTGGAGAGCAAATGACATTTGGAAAAGAAAACAAAATATGTCAAAAATACAGTATTTTTTATCTTTTCTTCCCACCAATATATATGTATCTGCCACTGGTTTCAGAAGTTAAAGAGAGGGATAAAAACAGTAAAGAACTGCCTTTTCACCTTTTGACTCTATCTTACTTTGCAGAGAATAAATTTGGGTTGTGTATGCGACAGGCTTTTTCACAATGGATTTCATTGCTTGTTTTAAATGAACATACAAATGTAACTTAGTGTGAGACTGAGCTAATATTGTACCAACAGAATTGTGAAAAATGACTGTGCAATGTGCTATTTTTTTTTAAACAGAACATACATTTACAGCAATTACTGTGAGCCAGATACTGCCAGCCTCCCCCTGCCCCTAGCAGCTCAGTGATCTGGCTGAGTAAATACCTCTGAAAGCACTTCCCCACCAGTGCAAGCCAGATTTTAACTTCAGTAATTAACTATCATCTTCCTAAAGGCTTGAAGCATTCACAGTGAGTGCACAACAACCCACATCAGGAACATTAACTGGATAAACTAAAAGAAAACAGGAGAAGATGCAAGCTGAATGATATTTTGCCCCCAAGGAGAGAAGAGGTTTCTGAAGTTTAGGGTCATATCCTTTGCAGCCCTTTTTCTCCCTGCAGGCATGAATGCTGGATGCATGCTGGCACTTAGCAGCTGGTGCTCCTGATTAGCAGATCTCAAGGGGTTAAAGTGTTTGCCCTTAGACAGTTCTGTAAGTGGAGTATCCAGCATGTCATAAAAACATGGGTAAATTCCCTTTTTCTCCTGCAATAAATAACAACCCAGCCTAATTCTGCTGCAATAGGCTCCATGAGGTGACCAGCAGCTCACAATATTTAA